CTATAGAGTCAGACCTGTCTGCAACAAACAAACAAACAAAGAAAAAAAAAACAGTTCCAATCCTTGGATAAAACTGTGCCTAAAGCTGGAGCTGTCCTTTAGATTTTTCCCATCTCACTTTTGATTAAACCCTACTTTGAGTAAGATTTTTGATATTTATTTCTGAAATAGTCCTGAGCAAACCTGCAAAAAAGTGTGCAATTACTAACCTTGTACCACCTCACCCCAGCCATAGGTGGAGTAGGAACTCTGAAGATTGAGACTAGCAGACCAAATGGTGCAGTTTTTTCTTATCTACAATAAGTTTAGTTACTAGTGGTAGGTTATCATTGTGGCTCAGGTGCAACAGTTATTTTCCATGTCTATTACACTGGAGTTATAGGCTAGAAATGCTAGGTTAGATCTGATTTAACTGCATTGCACAGTATTGACCTAATGAAAAAATATTTTGTATTTTAAGTTCTCTGTCCTTTATTTAATACTCCCCTGAGTCAGATGTGTTTTCCATTTTGGTGACTCAAAGGCAAGAGGCAGAGATATTCTCAGATGACATTTCAGGGAATAATTTTGCTTCTTAATCAATTACATTTCTTTCCAAGTCTGTGGAACTGATTTTTCTAGCTCCTATTTCTGCTCTTGGGAAAAGAAATATAAGCATTGATATCTTCAGCCTCATGGTGAAATGATTATTGGTTCTATCCCAAATATCTTGGGAAGCCAGTAATAATAAATCTGCAAATATCTGACTTTATTGAAGAAATTTATGTTTAATGGTGCATAATTCTTCCTGGGTATAGACATGCCTAGAGAAGCAGAGAAGCACAGTGCTAATCCAGTTAGCCTTCCCTGGAAGGAAGGTGCAGAATGCAAGGGAGCGGGCTCTAGAGAGCACAGAACTCCAAGTGTAACCAAGAAGCCATGGCTTTCATGTTTCTTTTTCTTTTTTTCAACCAGGAAAACATAGAGTAAATATTCAGTATCTGACCTGGTCCCAGGAACCAAGGAAACCACACTTTGTGTGTGCTTTTTTACTCCCATTGAGAGGGATGATCCCTAATTTTATCTTGGAAATCAGCTTCATGAATATGCAATGATTTCTTATGAAAATGCACAATAGGGCTGGAGTGATGGTTCAGCAGGTAAGAACGCTACTGCTCCTGCAGAGAATCTGAGTTTGATTCCCTGCACCCATGTCAGGCGTCTTACAACCACCTGTAATCTCCAGCTCCAGGGGGAATTCAATGCCTCTGACCTCTGTGAACATTGGTAGTCACATGCACACCGCCCCCCCCGACATATACAAAATAATTAAAAATAAAACAAATAAAGGTTTTTTGTTGTTGTTGTTGTTGTTGTTTTTGGTCTTTTTGAGACAGGGTCAAACAAATGTGGTTGGTCTAGCATAAAAGTGAAGCAAAAGAACAGTGTTGGATCCAGAGCAGGTTTTTCAATCAAAATGACAAAGGTTTGCAGCTGGCTATGGATGTATCAGGTGTCTGAAAGTATTACTTGGTTTCTGTGCCGCTGTATGTTGTTCTTTAAAATGAGATGCACTCAGAGAAATACATTTAACAGCAGAGTGTCAGGGCTTTCAATAATGCCCAATGAATGCTAGCTACTGTTGTTAATTTGGTCTGCCCCAGGGCTAAATCGAAGGGCCTCCCTTCTCTTCTCTGTATTTGCTTCTCCCTAAATGACCTCATTCAATCCCATGACTTTAAATATAAACTATACTAATGACTCCAAAATGTATGTCTCCTGCCAAACTGATACTTTCCAAATGTGAGCCAGCTCCTGTCACTTTTCACTCAAAATTACTCGCTGGCTGGCTCCCCATCTCTCACTGAAACAACCAGAGCCCTGCCGAGAGGCTGCGAGGCCCTGAATAAGCTGTCCTACTTTTATGATTATCTCCTACCTCTTTCCACATTCTTTCTTTTTTTCAGCCACACTGGTGTTTCAGGGTGAACACTTCTAAACACTCTTGCTCTTCAGCCCTTTGTATTTGCTGTTCTGCCCAGGATGTCCATCCCCAGTGTTCATATAACATGTCCCCTCATGTGATTCAAGTTCCTGCTCAAAGGAAAAGAGGTGCTCTATCTGTACCCACTGTGAGTAAAAGAGGACTTCCTTTCCTTTCCTTTGTTTCTTACCCCTACTTGACTTTTCTTTATGGTACCTGTTACCAGGGTACCTAGTTACTTGCTTATGGTCTGCTGTTTTTGTCTAGAATGTAAGCCGAATTAAGTCAGGAACTTTGTTTTGTTTACAACCCCTAAATCAGTATTGGTAAGTGACGGGCATTCAATAAATATTTGTTGCTTAACTATAATTATGTTAATCATGCAGATTATAAAATCTCTTGCAGGCTGGAGAGATGGCTCAGTAGTTATTGGCTGCTCTTGCAGTGGACCCCAGTTCCCAGTACTCACATGGTAGCTAACAACCATCCATAAGTACAGTTCCAGGGAAATCCAACACCCTTTTCTGACCTCTATGGACATTGCATGACACAGGTGCACTTACATACAAAAAATACACACATATACTTAAAATAAAAATAATAAATAATTAAAATCTGTTGCTCTTTTTATCCTACTAATTTGCATTCCATTTTAAGGAGGACACAAACTTCATAATGAATAGATGGATGATAGACAGATGATAGATAGATAGATAGACAGATAGATAGATGATAAACAGACAGATAGATTCTTAAAACTCATATTTAAACTAGAAATTTTGAGGCTGGCAAGATGGTTTATCAAGTATAGGCACTTACCACCAAGTTTGAGGACCTGAGTCCCACTCCCAGGATCCCACACCGTGGAAGAAGAGAACTGACTCCTGCAAGTTGTCCTCTGATCTCCACACTAGTGTTGTAATATGTGTATACACACACACACACATACACACACAAAGTAATAAAAATTTTAATAAATTAGAACTCTTATGCATAGTAGGGATTGATTTACTATTCAGTAGAAATTAAAAAATAGTGACTGCACACCTGCCACAAGCTCTTAGATAAGAAACAATGAACAGGACTGGCAAGTTGGTTCAGTGGGTAAAGGCACTTGCCACCAAGCCTCTTCGGTCCTCGGAACCCACATGATGGAAGGAGAGAACTGACTCCTATGAGAAACAGTGAACAGTTTACTACCTTGGGGTGGAAATTTATCTAAGAAACTTGAAGCCCAGGAAAAGTAGTACTTATAACTTATGAATCACTAAGCTAATTATTGGTTCTATTTATTGCATCAGAATAGAACATGTGACCATTCTTCAAACTTTTTCTCCCCCATTTTTCTGAATTTTAAACCACTCATTTGATCAACACAAATTTTAAGGCATTTTCCTAGATTTCTCTCCTTCCCTTACTCTCTATATCCAGTTTGTCTGCAGACAAGAAGCCACAAAAATCTACCAAATTTATCCTGTTACCATTTACTTCTCCCTTTCCTCTCTAGAAACCCTTTAAGTTCCAGGACAGTGCTGCTTGCCTAAGGCTATCAGCAGAATTTCCCAACTTTCCTTCTTGTCTTCTCTTTTATTCCTCTTTTCCTAACAGCCAACTACCTCACAAAAAATGTAAATTGCACCACCAAGAAAGGTGGCACCAGCCTTTAGTTCCAGCACTTGGCAATTAATTAATTATTAATTAATTAATTCCAGCAGAGGCAAGCAGATCATTGTGAGAGATCAAAGCCAGCCTGGGATTGTCTAACAAGTGAAGTCCAGGCTAGCTGAAGCTACCTAGTGAGACCCTGTCTCAAAACAAACAAAGAAACAAACAAACTGGGCTGGTGAGATGGCTCAGTGGTTAAGAGCACTGGCTGCTCTTGAAGAGGACCTACATGTACATGGCTGCTATCAACCATCTCTGACTCCAGTTCCAGGGGCTCCGATGCCCTCTTCTGACCTCTGTGGGCATTGCACGGCACAGTTGTACTTACATACATGCAGGCAATACATTCATACACATGAAATATAATAAATAAAATATTTTTTAAATACCCCCAAACCAAACCAACCAACCATCCAAACAAAATGTAAATTACACAGTACTCTCTTACTTCAGTATTTCAGTGGCTTCCTTTTGTTGTTCCACTATAAGTTAGTCCACTCAGGAAAACCTATTCTTACCCATTATCCTAGCCTACAAGCCCTATTTGATCATCACTGCACACTTCTCCCCACCATTGTGGGTGTGTCCATACATTCTGGCCACATGGGCCCTTTCATGTCTATAAGCAATGGAAGCCCTCTCTTGTTCCCCAAATATCTACACCTACAACTCCTTGTCTAGATGCTTTTACCTTAGATGCCATTTCCCCAGAGAGGCCTTCTCAGACCACATCTTTATCCACTCAGTTCTGTTAGAGAGTGAGAGTGCTTTGCCCTGCTAGCAGCGTCCATAACAGCATCTAATAATGAGCACTCCAGAAACACTGATGGAAAGGCAGCTTTGTCTCAACTTTAATGCTGATGCAGGATCATGAGTTCAAATACTGATTTATTGATTTCCTCATTGCTTCAACCCACACAAAGAACCACCATAACAGGAGAAGGGCACTCTCCCTCACTATTTCTTAGCAACCACAGGTCAAGATTTGGACTCAGTTCAATAGTTTAGAACCACTAAATGTGGGACATAATCAGAAATGAAGATGACTGAAAGGTTTCTCACAATTTTAAGGCCGTGAGAAAAAGAAATCGGTAAGATTTCTTAGTTCATTTGGGGTTGGATAGGTTAGAGATAGTAGATGGGGAGAGAAAAAGAGTGAGAGAGGAAAACAAAACTGAAGGAGGCAGGACATAGCGCTCACACTCTGCTCTAAGTAACTGTGGCTCTGGGTTTGGGTACCACTTCTTGCCTTACAGATAAAAGTAAGGAATAGAGAGTGATGCCGTGCAGTGGGATGGGGTCGGCCACAAGAACCACAGACCAGAAAGAGGATAATAGATGCAAAAGGGGCTGGAGAGCATGAAGAAGAGCTGAGCAGAGTCGCGAGGAGAGCAATACAAAAGCGACCTCGGATCTCGCCGGAGCTGCAAGCGTTAAGGGGAGGCGGGGAGTGACGCGATTTGCGTCTGGAGCGGCTCCTTGGAGTCCACAGCATCCACCGCCGGAGCCTCGCCTTCCTTTCTCCCTCTGCAGACATATCCAGACACAAAAAGAGAGGCAACCCCTGGACCCGTGCGAGGGACCCACCCCCACCATGACCGAGACCACAAAGACCCACGTTATCCTGCTGGCCTGCGGCAGCTTCAATCCCATCACCAAAGGGCACATTCAGATGTTCGGTGAGTCCACCCGCCCACCCCCGGAGGCTGCTTCCGCTGCTCTGCTTTCGCCGGCACCTGGGTATTCCAGGGCGACTGGGCTGGAAGGTGTGTGCCCCTGTGGTGGGGTGCACCGGCTGATGTGGCTGGTGCGAGGTCAGCCTCTCGGTTCCCCTCTGGCGCGAACGGATGCAGGCTGCGTTTTCCGAGGCTTCCCAAGCTTGGGGCCAGATCGCCTCGCGGAGGGCCAGGGGTGGGGGAGGGGCGGGGCTGGGGGTGAGTGTCCTTTGGAGCCGGATGGGGGCTCCAGGTTAGAGCACTCGAGTGCCGCGGTGCGGAGGTTTGACTACTTGGCGGGCGAGGATGAGGATGGGGGCAGAGGTTGGGGCGCCGAGTAGGGAGGCTGGAGATAACGTGCTGTTTGTTTAGGACGGGCAGGAAGCTCGAAGGAGTTAAATGTACCTCCAAGACACAAACACTCGCACACGACACACCAGTGACAGGGTCTGGGGCTTCAAGGAGGTGAATACCGGGTTTGGTTGGCAGTTCCCGGCGGCGCAGGGACCAGTGGAGGTCACCGTGTGTGGCTCAGCGCGAGGTGGATGCTGAGAGATGATGGGGAGGGTACCCCTGGCCTGCTGAGGTTGACTAGGAAGGGAAGGGGCGAGGCGGCGGCTTCGGGAGGTGGTCCGCGAGCAGGTGGGGATAGATCCAGGTCCAAGTTGGCCGCCCATCTGTCCAGGGCGGCGATCGCACTCGGCAGCCTTGCGGTGTTGAGTGTAAGGATGGATGTGTGTGTATGTGCGTGCGAACGCGCGTGTGGTGGGGTGGGGGCGCGTTTGTTTCTTAAAGGCTTTGGGGTGCGAGTCGGGGCGTCCGGGTACAGGTATAAGATTCAGTAGCGAAGGAGGAAGAGATGATTTATCGATGGCGACTGAAAAGCTCTCGCCACCAGTATGGGAGCCACGCGCCTAGGACGTTGCTTCAGTAGGAACCAAAGGTACGGAGGATGTGCGCTTTTAGACCCCGAGAGAGGGACGCGGAGGTCACTTGAAAAGCAGGAATTGGGAAGTTAGAAGTTGAGAGTGCTTTTTCCTGGGACTTGGAGGAGGAAGGAGTAGGTTGGAGCAAGTGCGCTGAGGATGGATGAGGGAAGGGTACAAGGCCTGGCTGGAGCCCTGCGGTGAGGCGCTCTCCTAACACCGCGGTGCTGAAACGCAGGGTGCGCTGGAGCTGGCTGTGGGCACACGTGTTTGCCTAGCGCTGGAGGATTACGAGAGCTTTCCTAGGCTGTTTAATGAAAGCCACAACATATCAATAAAGACCGGCCGAGGTACTTAAGCTAAAAATACTCGTCTCTAAACCTAAAAGGTGAGCTGAAGTGGGTTCGACTGTTAAGAAGCTCATGAAAAGAATATAAAACGATTTTGCACACAGGGCCGATCTGGTAGGCTCTTTTACAGGATGGAGAGAAGCGCCGAGAGAGAACCATCCCTTCTTTATTATTCCGTCAGCTTTTGAAAGTGTTTATTCAGAGGTAACGCCAATTTGTCTGTTAAACAGGAGGTTTTGATACAGTAGCAGCGTGGACCAGCATGAGGGTGGGTCAGAAGATCTCTTTAGTCTTCTCTAGACTTGGTGCAGTGCCCCAGGCACACACCGTTTTCACTTTCTTTTGAGTTTGATGTCTTCTCCCTTGTTTTTCTTGCCCTCTCCGCCCACTATCTTTGCTAGCTATCTTAGGTTGATGTTTCTCTGCCTTGACCAGGCAGGGATGGCTTTTCTGGGACCGCCTCAGCTCTAGGAATCTTTAGTGGGCCAGTGGGTTCTCCTTTCTTCCTGGAACTAAGGATGTGGCAAATCTGGCTTGCTGTAGATTAGAAGTGGGTCAGACTGTGATAGAGAAGGGGGGGGGCTGTCTTGCAGCTGAAGAGTTTGGTGGCAGTGATACTGACCTGCCAATTCTCCAGGAGCTTTGAGAAAAGGATGAGAAAGCAGGCATGGGTTGTAGCAGAAGGATTTGTATATAGAATAGCCAAAAGGAGACTTCTGATAGTGGCCATTATTTACTTCACATTGACACTGAGAACTAAGTGAGAATATCTATCAACGAAGCCCTTTGAGTATCCATGAGTTAAGCATAACCCAAAGAGCAACACAAGAAAAGGATGCAGTGCAATAAGAGGGCTTAAGGAGCTTACTACTAATAGGAATTTGTTGTTTTGTTTTGTTTGTTTGTTTTAGCATATAAACAGGTGAAAAAGAAGGAAGACAAAATAGATACTAAATTATATTTTGTGGAATCTCTTATTGGTATCTGTGAGCTTTTGATGCATTTTGTAAATTTTAGAGCTACATTTATTTCCTTTTGTGTGTGTGCACCTATGTGTGTGTGTGTGTGTATGTGTGTATGTGTGTGTGTGACCGCTTTCACATGTGCCATAGCTCACAGGTGGAGGTCAGAGGATGATTTGCAGGAGTGGGTTTTTGTCTTCCACCATTTGGATCTCAGAGACTGAATTCAGGTCATCAGGCTTAGTGGCAAGCTCTTTTATCCATTGAGCCATCTTGCTGGCACTGTAAATTATTATTATTTTTCTTATTTATTTTTTGAAACTGTCTCAACTATGTAGCCCTGGGAAGCCTAGAACTCACTATGAAGACCAGGCCAGCCTAATCTCACAGAGACCCTCTTGCCTCTGCCTCGTGCATGCTGGCTTTACTGCTTTAAAAATTTTTTATTTATTTATTTATTTATTTATTTATTTATTTATGGTCTCACTCATATATCAGGCTGGCCTTGGAGTCATAGCAATCTTCCTGCCTGGACTGTGCAAATTCTGGGATTACAAGCATGAGCTACCATACTTGGCTTTGTAAAATACTTTGGCACAGCAGTTTCTAGTTGAAAGCTTTTTGTATATGCTTTTGTCACTTATTCATATTAAGAACCCTGTAAGGCAAGCATTATTATCTCTTTTGTAAGAAACTGATAGTCAGAGGTTATGTGAATTTCTCATCAGCCCACATGGATATTGAGGATTTTTGTTTTGTTTTTGAGACAAGGTCTCATGTAGCCTAGTCTGACCTCAAACTGGCTCAAGGATTACCTTGAGCTCCTGATCCTCCTATTTGTTTCCTAGGTACTGGGATTACAAGTATGTACCATCACCCCCTAGACCAAGTTGTCTTAAACTCCACATTCCAGACCCCTCTTATAGAAACCTCTGTGCTGCTTGAGGGGCAGGAAGAAGTACACAGCTAATCTGGTTTGGTAGTCTCATGAACACTATTTCCTTTAATGTGTACTAATTAGAATGAAATTGACCACTAACTAACTAAATTCTCAAATATGCCTTTCCTTAAGAGCTCTTTTTTATCTGGAAAGAAGCATGTTATTCATGAACTGTTTCCATCTTTTAAATAGCTTTTTCTCCCCAAGAACATGTAACTACTTAATGTAATTAATTCGTCAAACTTTCTTTAGGTGCATGAAACTTGTAGTAAAAATTTTAAAAATAGACCACAAGGCAGGTGTGGTGGTGCATACCTATAGCCCAGACATTGGAAGGTAGAAGCAGGAGGATCAGGAATTCAAGACTATCCTTTGCTGCATAGTGAGTTTAAGGCTAGTTTGGTATAGTGAGTTAAGGCTACATGAGACACGGCCTCAAAAAAAGTAATAATAAAAAAAGATTCCAAAACAAGACTTTGAAATATTACTTTTTAAATATTTTATTCATTATTTTATGTGTACAAGTGTATTGCCTGCATGTATGTGAGTACACCCGTGTCGTGCAATGCTGTGGAGGTCAGAAGAGGGCTTCAGATTCCCCTGGAACTGGAGTAGCCGCTATGTAGGTTCTGGGAATCTAACCCGGGTCCTCTGCAAGGGCAGTCAGTGCTCTTAACTGCTGAGCCGTCTCTCCAGCCCCTGAAATATTACTTTTTAAATCCAGTTGCTTATCAGAGGGGGAAAAAAAAAGAGAAAGAATGTAAACAAACAACAACAACAAAAAACTTAGAACTAAAGAGCTCACTCTTCTTTTGTGTGTGTGTGTGTGTGTGTGTGTGTGTGTGTGTGTGTGTGTTCATGTGTATGCAGGAGTGATTGTACGTGGGTATGCATGTGTAGGGGTGCACATGGAGGCTATAGAACAACTTCGGGTGTCATCCTCAGATGCTACCTAGTTCTTTTGAGACACGGCCTTTCATTAGTTGGGAGCTCACTGATTGAACTAGGCTGGCTGGCCAATAAGCTTCAGGGATCCATATGTCTCCACATGCTGGGATTACAAGTCTGTGGCATCAAGTCTGGCTTTTTTATGTTGGTTCTGGGGGTCAAACTCTCTGGTGCTTTAAAAGAAAGCACTTTACTGACTAAGCCATCCCTTAAATTCCACTCTTTGTTTTTATAAATGAGTTCTAGTACAATTTTTGGTATTCGTAAAATATTTTAGAATGAACTTTTCTTTCACTCTGAAAGGGTTCTTGGTACTATTTTTCCTATTTGTGACTATAGAAACAGGAAAAGAAAACATTTGTGATCAAGATCTTTGATATGTTTTCAGGGGTGGATAGATGTTTCTAGCAAAGTAAACCCATAAACTAATGATGTTGTATTCCATGGGTCTACTTCACTGTGTAAAGAGATAATGTGAAGCCTAAAGGATTTTAATGTAGATTCTTAGGTTTTATAACTTTAATAAAGTCACACTGAAATATAAACTCTAACATACTAAAATATAGTTTCTGTGTACTTAAAAAGTAAGAATAATAGACATTTAAATTGTTATATTTGGATAATCAGACAACAAGTTTAAATAGTAAAGAAAAAATAAACAGATTGATAGATTAGTTTGGGTATAAAAACTAGAAGAGTGCAAATAATTTTTATATTTTATTATTTTATCTGTATGAGTGCATTGCCTGCATGTGTGGAAGTCCAACTGTGTTGTGCAAAGCCTGTGGAGGTCGAAGAGGGCATCAAATCCCCTGGAACTGGAGTTATAGAAGATTGT